CATTACATATGAAGATATATAGGAGTAGGAAATCATTCTTATCAAGTCAAAATATAATTTTAATAATATTAATTTTTTTTAAATAATAATAATTATTATTATATTAAAATAAACTAAACACACTTATTAAATAAATTATATTTGATTACCATAGTTAAATAAAAATTATAAATAATTTATTTAATTAATTAGAAATGATTTTTTTTACAACGGGAAGCTTCATTTAGTGTTCTACTCAGAATCATTGGGTTAATAATTTTATTGTTCTGTAAAAATTTTTAATTTAATAATTTCAGTGTCTCACTAAATAATGATAATTTATTTAATTACTATTTTGTAATTTCAAGCGTGTGGTTTAGTGGTAGAGGTTGATCCACGCTTAAGCAAGGTCATGAGTTCAAATCCTGCCTTATGTATGCAGCCGCGTTAAAAAAAAATTACTATTTTGTGATATAGTTGACTACAAATTAAATTAAGAAATTTCATTTTAAAAAATTTCTTTAAATAATGACAACTATTATAAATAAATATTACTAGTGTGTACGCGTATGATGTTTGGAAGCAAATTATTCTTTTAAGAATAATAAGAAATGATAATAAAAAGTTATATATTGATTTCTAAAAATGTACGTATTTCCCAATAAAATTACATACAAACAAAAGCATATATTAATGCATAATATTAGTATGAACTACAGCTAGAAATTTTCATTTAGTAAATTAACTAAAATTGTGTTCATGACCATGAAAATAATATCAAGATAATGTGATAATGAATATGCAATTTCATTTATATGAAAATACTCAAAATAAAGTCTAAAAAACGACCAGCGACCTGTCATTATCCCCTACTGAAAATTTAACTCTAATACAAATTTTTTATAGAGAATAGCTACAAATATGAATGACAATTGACCCAAACATGTCCCTTGGCCCTTGTAGTGTTCGATACACCTAGTAGAGTTCATTTGTACATAAGCTAGAGTGACTTGTCAAAGATTAGTAATGGACACACTATGTTGAACATCTCAATTCTACAACTTATGCTGATGTAAGCACTTAATTTTTTTTAATTAAATTTAAAGATTTCTCTTCTAAATTTTTTTCTAACATCGTAAGTTTCTCCATAATTTGTGTGTGGATAAGGGGAATCATGACACATATGGATTCTTGGAGTCTAAATCCATCTTGAGAAGTGGGAACAAGGCAATAAGAACCGAAATGCACATCCAAAATTGGATGTACGTATGAGTCAAATAAACAAGTTTACTTAGTCCCCTTACTTTTTAAAGTAAGTACACATTTATACAACTTGCCGTTCCAGGCCCGTTCTGGGACTACAAAAACCTCACATTTTCAACATTTGGAACGGCCCGTTTCACTTTTGGAACGGCCCGTTCTGGAACCCAAAATACCCCTATAACTTTATTAAAATTACGAAAATGCCATTAAAATAATAATAATAAAAATTTGGGTGTTACAAAAAGTCTTGAATACCTTCCTTTTGTTTCTCCTTAGATCGATGAAGGTTATATCTATGCATGTATCTTATTTAATTAACCATATTTGAATTCAACTGTTTTTTTAATTAAAATGTATTGTAAAATTAATTTCCATTTTTTTGAATAGGATATTATTTGTTGACCTGAGGGTAAAGGGGATGGTTGTGATTTCCCCTACTGAAAATTTAACTCTAATACAAATTTTTTATAGAGAATAGCTACAAATATGAATGACAATTGACCCAAACATGTCCCTTGGCCCTTGTAGTGTTCGATACACCTAGTAGAGTTCATTTGTACATAAGCTAGAGTGACTTGTCAAAGATTAGTAATGGACACACTATGTTGAACATCTCAATTCTACAACTTATGCTGATGTAAGCACTTAATTTTTTTTAATTAAATTTAAAGATTTCTCTTCTAAATTTTTTTCTAACATCGTAAGTTTCTCCATAATTTGTGTGTGGATAAGGGGAATCATGACACATATGGATTCTTGGAGTCTAAATCCATCTTGAGAAGTGGGAACAAGGCAATAAGAACCGAAATGCACATCCAAAATTGGATGTACGTATGAGTCAAATAAACAAGTTTACTTAGTCCCCTTACTTTTTAAAGTAAGTACACATTTATACAACTTGTAACACCACACGTTTTTGTAATTAGTCTAATAATATATATTTTATTATAAAATTTAAAGAGTTAATGTTAGAGCGCTTTTAAGGTTAAAATTGTATTTTATATATTTGTTTTGAGTAAATTATATGAGGGTTATACTTTATTATAATATTTTATTATTTTTGTTGTTGTTGTTGTTATTATTATTATAAAGTAAGGGGAAGGAATAGGTAACCACAATTATAGATAAGTAACTGAAGATGGGTTAAAGGGATGATGAGTTAGGTTTAAATTCAAATTTTCTATTCACGCCCTCACTTTTCTTTTACACTTTGAAGAATCATGAAGAAAGGATATAAGAGGAGATCATCCCGGAGACCCATGAGGGGGGGGGGGGGGGAGAATTCTCGCTCTAGGACGTGGATAATTAATGAGTAGTGAGGTTGGTCCCCAACCTCTTTTTGCTTGTGTTGTATGAAAAAGAAATCCCAATTGTTTTCTACTCTTGTTGATTGTCTTCCACATGATTATATTACTCTTGAATTTGTTATAAATTGTGCTTATATATAATTAATTTCATGCATTGAGCCCTTTAAGTAAGAATTGAGTTGCCTATGAGTTCCTTTGGAAACCTTAAGGCATGCGTTGAATGGTTATTGTGTGAGTGATTAATAAAGTTGTGTAATTGTATGAGATTCATGCCTTATAGATGTGTTGTATGAATAAATTGGAGGTGTTTTACCGATTGAATCATCTTTTGCAAGTTGTGGTGTTGGTTCAAAATTTTGTAGGTTTTGGTTGTTTTGATATGACGCTAGGTGCCACTTGAGTCTCGCTAGGTGCTGGGGTGCCTGAGAACAATGTTCACTCCCTGTTCTGTCAGCATAGGACATGCCTCAGTGAGTGCTATTGAGGTCACAAGTCTCTATGATACTCACATCGTATGTGGGTTAAGGCTCACTGAGCATGGGGTTTGAGGGGGGTCCCCATTGCTATCTTATCTAGCATGACATAGGTCACACTGAGCCTGAGTCATCCTGAGAGCTATGAGTGTTCTCTGAACGAGTTGTGTTTGGTGAGGATGAATTTCCACCCGGCGCTAGAGATAAGTGATTCATCCACACGAAGTGCTAGATCTAATTCCATACACCTAATGTTAAAAGAATATGTTCTTTCCAATCGACATAATTATCACCAATTAACAATGGAATTCTAGACTCAAGGAAATTATTAGGCACAACTGTTATATATAAAAATATATATCAATGCTACAAATAAAATTTAACAAATAAATTCTAACCTTCCTATAGACAAAATTGCATGACATGCATAGAATTTATAAACTTTATATACAAAACATCATAGTCTTTTAAAATCCTACGAAATCCTAAACCAATACACCCCCGTTAATAATCACATAATTTTCCCAACTTAGTTTAGTGTTGTAATTCTTCTTTATTTGTCTCTTTTAAAATTTTTAAAACGTGAAATAAACATTCAAAAAGGAATCTCCAAAACAATCAAATGTACACACTATTGAAATTTGTATTTAAAGATATAAAAAAAAATATGATTAGAGATAAAAGTAATTAGAAATAAAAAAAAACCTTGTACAATTAATAACATTTTTTTTAATTTCTTAATTTATTATTTTTTGGCGGTCAACATTTTCAACCTGACCCGTTCCCATTTTGACTAACTTGGGGCTGGAGATTACAATATTTTGATGGTGGTAATTAAATATATCAATTCCAGCTAACATTGAGTCACAACCATCCCTACCCAGTAATATTATATGAAAATTGAGTCGTGTAATAATAGATAATGTTTTAAATACATCAACAATTTATATTAAAATTCTAATTTTATTATGTTGTCAGTTTAGAGAAACTGCTATGACAGACAAAAACAATTCAAAATTTTATATATTATTTTTTTTTTTGAAATTAGTAATATTAGATATTGATTTAAATACATTAACTTTATTTTTTTTTACTGAAATTACGATTCAAAAATAAAAAGATTTTTTTGAGAATTAATTTACCTGTAATTAATATATTTAATCACAATCATTAAATGTAATTAATTTTAAAATGAATAAGATAATTTCTCTTTTAGGTCTTATTATAAACCAAAAAAAATCATTAAAATAAATAAATTAAGAAAAATTGACTAAATTGGCCATTACTTGGACAGAGTTTTTTCTTTTTTTAGGAAAGACTATTTCAATGTTAACTTGATATATAACTAGTGGAGTTTAGATATTTTTTGTCTCTATTAAATAATAAAGGTAGTTAATTAAGTAATTAATATTTGTTAGTTTAACTAATATTACAATTAATTTTTATGATTTAAGGTCTTGAGTTTAAGTTTTGTAATTGATAAAAATATTATTATTTTTTTAATTTTTTTATTAAAGGATATAATGATTTATCAAGTGCAGAAATCAAAGTAATTAATGATATTTTCTTTATATATTAGTATAAAAACATAGATAAAATAAAATAATATAATAAGATAAAATATCTAATAACTAGTACTTTTTTTTTTTTTTTCAAAAGGAGAACAACCGAATATTATTGAAAATTAAAATCTAGAAGAAAAAGTAAGACAAGCTATATGAACATAAAGAGCAATAAAATCTAGACTAACATAAAAAGTACTCTGATCTCCTTCAAGAAATAGTCCAAATTTCGTGTTTGGTTGGAAGGAAATGAAAGGAAAGAGAGGAGAGAGAATTTTTTTTTAAAAAAAAATTTTGATTTAAATTTTAAGAAGAGAGCAAGAAAAGAAGTATCTATTTTTCTCCTCTCAACAAAAAAAAAAAAAAAAGTTTCAACTCGTCTCTTCGTCTGCATTAAAATTCCTACCTCCTTGAAACCAAACGAATTTAAGACTTCTACCAAGCATGAACCACAGAGACATTTTCCCTTTATAAAACGTTATAAGATAGTGCATGCTCATCCCATATTCTATCTTAACCTCATCTTACACTCCACAGAAAATTTGGAGATGAGTTACTCTGAAACAAGGAAGCCACATGCTGTGTTGGTTCCACTTCCATTTCAAGGCCACATCAATCCTATGTTCCAACTAGCCAAGTTGCTTCACCTTAGAGGCTTCCACATAACCTTTGTCAACACTGAAAACAATCACAAACTCTTGCTCCAATCAATGCCTCCCAATGCTCTTGATGGCCTCCAAGACTTTTGCTTTGAGACCATCTCAGATGGACGTGGTGATAGTCAAGACATATTCTCTATTTGTGAATCAATAAGAAAACACTTGCTCTTACCCTTTTGTGAACTTCTTGCTAGACTTAATGATTCTGCCACTAAGGGTCTTGTTCCTCCAGTTACTTGCTTGGTTTCTGATTGGTCCATGAGTTTCACCCTACAGGCTGCTGAACAACTTGCACTCCCTATTGTTCTATTACCAGCTGCCAGTGCATGTTTGTTTTTGTCTGGTTTGCACTTTCAAACTCTTTTTGATAAAGGTCTCATACCACTCAAAGGCATGTATATTTAAGCTCTTTCTTTTGTAAAGTACATATAAATAAGTAATTCCAGCATGAATCATAAGTTTAATATACATTAAAATAATAATTGGAGGTATCTAATTTCACCAGAAGAAGTTCAAGAAGAAAAAATAGAAAGAAAAAATTAAATAAACTTCTTCATAAACTAAAACTAACTCATACAATTAAAAATTATTCTAATTTTTTTTCATGTTTTTATTAGTTATAAATAATGGATATATGTTAATGCAGAAATTGCTTGTTTGTATTATATATTCATACAATAGAGTCATTGACTATTGTAAATATGACTGCAGATGAGAGTTGTTTGACAAATGGGTATTTGGACACAAAAGTGGACTGCATTCCAGGTATTAAAGACTTTAGACTGAAGGACCTGCCAGACTTTATAAGGATAACAGATCCAAATGACTTTATGGTGAATTTTCTTATTGAAAACGCAAATAATGTGCCCAGGGCCTCTGCTATTGTTTTAAATAGTTTTGATGAACTTGAGAGTGATGTTTTGAATGCTCTCTCCTCAAAGTTCCCTTCCCTCTACCCAATTGGCCCTTTCTCTTCATTTTTAAGTCAAAGTCCTCAGAAGAACCACTTGACAACTTTAGGTTCCAGTCTTTTGAAGGAAGATATTGAGTGTCTTGGATGGCTTGAATCCAAGGAACCAAATTCTGTTGTTTATGTGAATTTTGGTAGCACCACAGTTATGTCACAAGAAAAATTTCTAGAGTTTGCTTGGGGTTTGGCCAACAGCAAGAGACCATTTTTGTGGATCATTAGGCCTGACCTTGTCATTGCTGGATCAGTTATGTTACCATCTGAGTTTGTCAGTGAAACTTCAGATAGAGGCCTAATAACAGGCTGGTGTCCACAAGAACAAGTGCTGAACCACCCTGCAGTTGGTGGATTCTTGACACACTGTGGATGGAACTCAACAGTTGAAAGCATTTGTGCTGGTGTGCCAATGTTGTGTTGGCCTTTTTTTGCTGATCAGCCAACAAACTGTAGGTATATTTGCAATGAATGGGACATTGGGATTGAAATTGATGCCAATGTGAAGAGAGAGGAGGTGGAGAAACTGGTCAATGAATTGATGGAGGGAGAGAAAGGAAAGAAGATGAGAGAAAAGGTTATGGAGTTGAAGAAGAAGGCAGAAGAGGACACTAGACCTGGTGGTCGTTCATACATGAACTTGGACAAAGTGATTAGTGATGTGTTGCTTAAAAAAATGAGTAAATAGTCACTTCAGAATCTGGAAGATGTAGACATATTAGTCCTTGATAAGTTCTTGGAAGTGAAAATTTACATTCTCATTATAGTCCAAAACTAAAATAAAAATGTGATTGTAATGATTTACATTCGATTATAGTATAAAACTAAAATAAAAATGTGATTGTAATGATAATATTGATATATGTTCATAAAAATGAAAGTTTTTTTTAATGTTATTTTTAATTTTTAATTATTTCTATATGTCTCATTACTAAATATCACATTCATTTAAGTGATGATAAATTATTAGACAATATAAAAAATAATGAAAAAAGTCAAAAGTTCACATTTTAAAAATTAAAAGATTAAGTTCTTCTATTTTAAATTAAATGGAGTAAAACTGGATATCCACGAAAATAGTGATACCAAAAGGATGAAATTAACAATAAAAGCAAGATCAGTCCCGTGAACAAAAGTACATATCCATTAGGTATGTTCAATAGAAAACTTGGTATATGTTTAACAGAAATCACGAACAATAGAAGACAATTTTTTTAAGGAACGTGTTTTACTTCTCTCTCTCTCTTACCTATTAAGCTATCTCCCATGCTGATTATTGGTCAAGGCTATTGTTATTGTTTTATTGGTTAGAACCACTTGTGTGACAAATTGAGACAATCTTTATTACTAAATATTACTCTGCTGATATTTAAATAACAATTCAATAAAGACCGTAGAAACCTTATTAAAATTATTTTGATGTTATCTTGAATGTTTTGATTGCTTGTGCATGATGAACACATGCTATTGGCTTTTGTAATCATAAACTCAAAGATGAGAGTTGAAGTGAATTTATAAGAACCAGATCCTAATAACTTAATTGTAGAATTTGAAATTGAAATGGCAGAAAAAATTCAGAGCCACAGCTGTTGTTTTGGCTATTCTAAATGATCAACTAGAGAGTGATGTAATGAATGCTCTCTCCTCTATGCTCCTTCATCTTTACCACATTCAACCTTTTATTTCATTTTTAAATCAAAGTCCCCAGAATCACTTGGCATCTTTAGGTTCCAATTTTTTTATGGAAGGTAGAATAATCAGCAAACACATAAAAACTCATAAAAGATAGCCTCGTCCTTATTACGAGAATATTTTACAAGAATTTTTTCTCCTTTTTTATAAGATATTTTATAGTTTCAAAAAAATATTAAATTATTTTTTCGTTATTTGCCTTTATTAAAGATTGTTTCTTTATTTATCCCTTTAAAGATCTTGAGTATGTTTTTTTCTCCCACTTCATAAACTCTCTTCAATTTGATATTTATTATTCTTGCCCAAATTGATACATAAGTTTTATTATAGGATAATATCTTCATCTCTCATGAAAGTTTAATTATTTATGAGAATGATAAAATTGATAAATCTTAATTTTATTTTATAAATTTGATAAAATTAACTTATATAACAATTTAAATTAGTTTGTGTAATTTGATTAAAAGTGTTTTATAATAAAAATGAAACGAGTTGAATAGTTAAATATTATAACAAACTAAGCATGTTATATTTGGTAGTTAGCACAAATGAATCAAACATTATTAGAAACCGCCCCACACTGCCTTCCCCAAAGGACTGAACATAACAATGAAAATCTAAGACCTCTCACAACCACATCATATCCTAACACACCAAAAGTCTCCATCCATAGTTGAGTTGAGGCCTTAAAATCCACTTTTAGTCACCTCGCTCATAATTTTCTTTATCACAAACAACAAACCAATGTCATAGAAGCACATGAATCCTGTCTTCATGACCGTATTCATCACTCTTCCTACCGACACAAGCCACCTCGAATACCTGGCTAAAATCAACTCCATCTTCAACTCTCTCAAATTCACCTTTTCCAATGAATAATGATGCCCACATTGTTTTTACTTGGGTAATCCAACATGGGTTAGGTTTTTTGACTTTTCTTTTTCTTTTTCTTCTCATTTTATTTTAATTTCAAAAAATAGTACATGCATAGAAAGTGTGGGGAATTTTTAAATGGTCAATTAATTAAAAATGTCATGCACACTAAATTTAATAATTTTATAAAAATTAAAAGTTATACCATGTAGATTTCTTATTGTTTGAGGTGTAGACAAACATCGGCTACATGTCAAAGCAACAAAGAATTAATCATAGTTTTTGGGAGTAATGGACTAGTAAACTATTGTTGCAGCATTTGATGGACAGGTTGAAAGGATTAGCAGGTTTTGTACTGTTTATTATGCAGCTGATGATGTAAATGAAGATTCCAATCAGTTGCTGATGAAGTCAGAAGTTCCATGTGTTGTAATCAGTACAAGGAATGGTGTGTCACCAACTAAAAATGGGGCCTTTGTTCAACAGAAGGAAGAAGAGTGTCAGTCATATTAGTGGTAAGGGTGAGATCTTCAACACACTAGTGCTAAAGACTAAAAGTACTTTAACTGTGAAACTTGTGAGACTGAAAATCAAAGTGATCAAGTAGTATTTGTGATCTTTTGGAGTAGAGAACAGAGTGAGCTTTTGGAGAATGTAGGACCACCAAATATTTGTGATCGGGTAAGGAAATCAAGGAGAGATGTCATAAATGATGATAGAAATGAAGTGAAAGGATAATTTCTGGAACACAGAAAAGTTTCTATTCTCTGTTCCATTTTATTTTACTAGCAAGGCTAAAAATTTGATGGAATTGTTGAGATTCAAGGATTAGAGAAAGTCTGAACCATGTGAGATTGAATTGATTTGAAGTGTATAAAATACAAGGTAAAAATACTTATTTATACTAATAATTAAGTCTAGTGTCAAGTGTAACATTCTTAGGAATGATTATGTGGCAATTGGCAAATGCTAACTAGTAATGAAAAAAAATTATAATATTAAAAGTACAAAAAAATTTAATTCTTGTTTTCATTTTAAATTATTCCTCGACCAATAGAATACCTAAGGTACATGCTAGTAGGATCTTATCCTGTTTTGTTATTTTCAACATAGTCATAATAATTTTGCTAAATTTTACATAAAAGAAAGTATTGATACTTTTTACTCTCTTTGAATATATAACTAAAAAAATGTTTAAATTTTTTGAGATTAAAATATAAGTAAATTTTAATTAGTCAACTTTATTTATTACTCTTAATCTAAAAATATCTCTAAAGCAATAATTGAGAATACTATCTAAAAATATCTTTAAAATAATAAATAAGAACATTGTTTATTATAGATATAGTTAAAAATATTTTAAAAAATGTAGTGTATATTTTATGTAAAATAGTAACAATTAAATATATTTAATTAACTTTTTCGATCTATGTCAAATTATTATTATTTATTTATATATAAGTTCAAAGGGAATATGTTTTAAGATATTAAATGTATTTAATTTTTTATTTAATACATTTTTATAAATCATTAAGTTAATGTTATCATATGATATTATACCACATTACTCCATTTTTGGTTCATAATAAATAAGGAGAAAGTGGGAAACAACTTTTAAAGCAACTTATTCAGCTAGATGAATAATTGATTCAACAGAAGATTTAAATGTCATTTAAGATATTCTAAGTTGAAACTATACGAAAGTAAAGCCATAATAGTTGCAGCAGCATATATGCAGATGCTTCCACTTGATCAAATACTTCATAGAACAAATTCAATGCTTCAAATGGCTATCCGTGTAAACCCCAAAAACAAAACTTGCCCCCACAAATTAAGGTAGTCGGCTACATGAATCATATGATGCGATTAATTTCAACTAATAACCAAATTTTCAATGATATTATTACCTCTAACTTTTGGCATAATTGTAATATTTTTTTTTAAAAATAGTTTATTTAATTAAGAGTATTAAATTTGTCATTAATTGAAACATGTACCTGTAATAAGATATTTCATTCTCTCCCTTCTTAATCCATTTACTCCTCTTCACTCTTCGATTCAGTTGCTTGTCCACATTAAGAGGGGATGCATCTGTAAAAAAACATTTTGACTTTTAAGTAAGTTATTCTCTCGATGTATTAAATGTGAATCATGAACAATAACTTTACATTGAAATACAAATTATTTATACTGACCGTGACGGACCCAAATTCCAATGGACTGCAATCTAAGATTACTTTCGTATAGGTGATTAAGTTGGAATCACCTTTGTCATAATAATTTAAGTTGAAGGCCTTTGTATCTCATTTGACCCAATCAATAATGTCTTTCCTACATAGGTCCCTTGACACTCGAAGGCGTCGAAGGCAGGGGTCAAATTCGCTAGTGCGATCTCTTTGACTATCGAGGGTGTTGAAAAGGTGATCAAGTGATCCATTCAGCTATCGTCAAAAGTGCTGAAAGGGTCTCGGACTTGTCAGTTTTCAATGGCCAAATGACCTATCCGGTATAAAACTATTTTTTAAAATTCTCTTTTAAATTAGTCTTTTATCTTTTTACTTAATTATTTTCACCTAATTAATTAATGTTTGGAAGAGAGATATTAATGTATTTATTTATCTTCTCTGATCGTAATAAGAGAGAGAGTTTTTATTCAATTAATTTCAAGAATTTATCATCTTTTGTCTAAATTTTTTTTAATTAAATAAGAACATTTTAAAATATTTATATAATAATAAATGCAATTGACCATTAGAAGAGAGACTTATAAAAAAAATAGATAAGGAAAAAAAGTGAAAAATCATCATATATATAGAGAATGATATGGTATTTATTATGATATTTCTTTTAAATCTACATAATTTAATTTTCTCATTGATGCTTTAAGCGATCTCTATGTTCATATCCAAAATACTTTTTTAATTGATTTTCTATAATATTTAACCTAGTGTAGCTCTATTCTTTAGCAATCCTTATTATTGGTGCTTTCATTTCATCACCATGCCTTCCAAAAATACCAAGAAGATGACCCCCTCTTCCACCTTACCACCAAAATTACTGACTTACAATCCCAATTTTAATTTTAATCAAAATCATTTGATTCACGATACTCTACCATTCAATTCGTTGTTACTTAGAATTAAGAATCCCTCACCCATATTATGACAATCCTACTTGACCACTTTAGACACCCTACTACATCCTTGAATACATTTTCAATTTCACCTGATCCACCTCCGAAATTCCTTCGCAACAGCTATATATCCCTATCCAAATTTTTCCTTACCAACAACAACTTTCACACCCTTATTTTTCTCTGTCTTTT